TATGGACCGGGGCAGAGGGTCTATATCAATCTAGCCCGCCAGAAAAATGAATGAAAATTGAATTCCCCAAGGAGAATCGGGGAGCTGTTATCCAGACAGAGATAAATCAAAGGATGCCAGAGAGACAGGGAGAGCAGGCTTGCAACAGCAGGAGAATAATTAAGGAAACAGTTTCAAAATGCAAATGATAAAAGAGGGTTTGAGAGGAAGGAGGGCAAGGCGGAGATGACCGGAGATAGGGTGACGGGGAGCAGGGGCGGTGGGTTCGCCCCCCCAGTGGGTGGAGACAAGCTGGGTCTCCGGACTGCGGGCAGCGGGCATCGGAGGGTGGACTGGCCCACTCGGTGAAGCTCCTGCAATGGAAGGAAGGGTTTGAAAGCTCAGGAGTCTGCAGTGTGCAGCGGCGAGGGCACCCGATTGGGAGTCCAAGGCTGGATTTAATTTCTAGTTGGCTCTGCAACTTATTAGCAGTGGGACCTCAGGCAAACCACTTAACCTTTCCATGTCCTGATTATGCCAGACCCAGGCGCGAGCAGGAAGACCAAGTGAGTGAAAACATGGGGGAGAAGTGTGAAAAATGTAAAGTGCTAGACAAACGCAAGCTATCACCATTTTTCTTTTGCTTTTTAAAAAGATTGTATTTATTTATCTTTAGAGGGGAAGGGAAGGAGAGAGGGAGAGAAATACCAGTGTGTGGTTGCCTCTCTCACACCCCCTACTGGGGACCTGGCCTGCAACCCAGGCATGTGCCCTGACTGGGGATTGAACCTCGGTCATTTGGTTCCCAGGCCTGTGCTCAATCCACTGAGCTATACCAGCCAGGGCTATCATCATTTTTCTAAATTGAGTTTCTGGAGGTTCTTCCCTCAGAATTGGATCCACTGACATGATGGGTTTGGCTCCCAGAAATGTCTAGGAAGTCCCGGATCCTCTCACTGTCTTACTGACCCACCGTCTTGACCGAACTGAGACTTGGCGCCATCCTCTGGTGCCCACCCTCCAACTAAGCCATAACCAGCAGGCACAGGTCTGAGGTCAGCTGTGAGCCCTGGGTGGCCTTCTGTGAGAACAGCCCCAACTGAGTCAGCTCAGAGGTTCCAGTCCAAACAAATCCTCCTGAAGGGTCTACCTGAGGGAATGAGCCCTTCCCCCTTCTCTGGGGATACAGACTAGCTTTGCCCCCGTTAGCCTCAGTTTTATCGCCCACCCAGAAGGTAGAAACACGACCACTTACTGACCTGTTGTGAGGAGTAGATGGAAGTATGTGGGTGGAGGCACCTACCTGGGGGCCCGGCACTGTTTTCAACTTTCAGTGACTGTTGGTTGCTCTTATCACCAAGTAGGCTTTTGTATTGTTATTGTCATCACTATCAGCAGCAGTAGGTACTAAAAATCTACTTAAGGAAGGTTTCATGGTCAGAGAGCAAAGCAGAGGCTCCGAGAGGGACACGAAATGCCTTGGCAGAGGGAGATGTTTGGAAGACCTTGGGAAGGGGACCCAGCTCATGCCAGCAGGCCGATGCATCTAGGAAACTCTTGGAAGGTGACAAGGGCCTCTGTCAGCTGAGCTGCTGACCACAAGAGCCAGGAATGAGGGACAAGTGGACCTCCCAGAGCTCTTCTGCCACTGGGTAGAAGTGACAATGACCTCCCCTGTATCAGTGCTGGGCACAGGAGCGTCCCCACCACAGTAACGCTGCCCCTCACCCAGTGACAGGCTAGTGACAGGCCACAACTAAGAAGAGGGCGGGACCTTGGCAGGGTCCTACCAGGGGGAGCTAGGCGCTGCAGAGAGCCTTTAAAAAATCTAATTCTAAATTATAGAAGTAATTACCACAAGGCTCTAGGTTTCACTGCATATAAATATTTTATCTTTTAATAATATTACTGAAAAAATATAATCACTTTACAGAAAATCTGGAGAAGAGAAAAAAGAAAAAAATCCACAATACATCTCCTTATAGTAGTAGATTACTTTTTACACTTGCATACTTTGAATGGCATTTTGGTATCTTTCCTTTGTCCCCCCCCCCATGCTTTTGAACAGCTTTTTCTGTTTTATAAAATAATGTGCTTATTGAGGAAACTGAAGAAAAGCAAAAAGAAGGAAATAAAAATATCCACTGCACGGAGAAACATTTTTCTGTTTTAGCCTATTTTTCCATTTGTTTATCTTTTTAAAAATTATCTTAAAATACATACTGCTTCATATTCTCTTCCCCCCCTTATAAATCTCAAACACTTTTCTACATCACAAGATAACCTCTGTTTTATTTTCTAATGACAACATAACATCCATCACACTTACTCTAGTTTACTTAATAATCCCCTATTGTTGGATATGTAGGTTATTCCACTTTAAAAATGTTATGAGCATCCTTGAATCTATATCCTTATGTTCTTGGCTATTTTCTGTAGATACATTTCTATATGGATTGGGCTGAAGTTTTAGGTGACAAACATATCCCCAAAATGCCTTCAGGAGACACCGTTGTTCATTCCCACCAGGAAACTGTTTCCCAGTTTCCAAACACCCTCCCCCACAACCTGTATTATCATTGCTAACCTTTTTCCACACTTATAATTGTACAATATTGCATCCTGTTTTTACTAAAAATTAGTCTTCATTTCCCATGTTGCTTAATTTCCTAATTAGTTTTAATAATTGCATAACATACTAGCAAGCAAATATACTTCATAAACATCATTTATTTGGTTGAGTCCATAGGTTATTTTTCTCCAAGATGTAATGGTATAGACACATCTTTATGCATGAAACGGTTGTTTTCGAATTTTATTATTTTGTGTACTAGACACTCAAAAGTGGAATTACATGAGCTAATGCTATGAAAAATTTATAGATTTTGGTACATACTGCCAAACTGCACCCCACACGGATTTAAGAGTTCATATGCACACCAGCAAATATTTGTGAGTTCCAGTTTCGAAGCAACTTTGCAAGTACTTAATTCTATGACTCCCCTCCCCGCCCCCCCCCCGCAGATGGTCATTTAACAGACAAAGAGAGGTAAGGACCTCGTCGTTTTGTTGCGATTCTCTCTAATTGCTAACAGAAGTTGGCACTTCCTCGTGTTTGTTGACTAGTTATGCTTTCCAAGAAAATATATGGGTAAACGCTGAACATGTCTCAGGGTTCTTTGCCTTTTTGGGGGGGACTGGAGTCCCCTGGCTGGTAAACAGGGAAGAAACTGTGCCAGGCCAGTGCCGGCAGACACGGAAGTCACTGCGACATCTTTGGAGACAAATTCTAAGCGCAGCCCGCACGCTGTCTCCCCGCACCCCCATGCTTGTCCCTCTCCAATCCTGGTGTCCCCTCTTTGGGGACCACACGGTGGGGGGGAGCAGGGGACGTGATGGACGGCTGGAGAGGGTGCACAGTCCTCCCTTCCCACTCTAGCTGGACCCCGGTAGGCTGGGAGGACACGTCTGTCTGCACATCTGGAACGAAACTCAGAAGGGGGTGTCGAGAGGGCTGGTCCCGAGAGCCGCTAGGTCCGGGGGCGGCGGAGCTGGGTTTCCCGAGCGCGCGGTCCGCGGGCTGCGGGCATCTGACCAAGCGTTGGAGAACCTCCACGGAGACCTGCTCCAGCAGCGGGCTTCCTGTTTTATTTCCTCCAGGAACTTGCGTCGAGAGTGTAAGCGTTTATGTGTGTCTTGTAATTACAATAACCAACACACGCCGGGGTGTCCGTGTGCACGCGGCCGCCCTGCACGCACGAGGTCGAGAATTGTTCAAAGCGCCCGCGGTCGCAGGGAGCGGCGTCCCGGGACTGAGGGCAGGAGCGGCCTGGGAGGCCCTGCCGCCGCCCGAAGGCGCGGGGCTCCGACGGGGCGGAGAAAGAGGGGAGAGCGGACTGCAGGCCACCGCGTAAGGGGGCGCGCACCGTGGGCCCGCGCCCCGCCGCCTCAGCGCGCGGTCCCCGGCCGCCTGCTCCGGCCCGCCGCCGCCCGCCGCGGGACTCGCGCATTCCGGCCGGAGGGAGGGCCGGCTGTCCCTGGCCCATCCTCAGCCAGACTCGGCGGAGAGAGAGCAAGAGCTGGGGAGCGACCGCTGGAAAGGAATTGGCCCGAGAGGAGGAAGAGGAGGAAGAGGAGGAAGAAGAGGAGGAGGAGGAGGATGGAGTCATCTAGTTCAAGAGCGCGCTCGGTCCGGCGGAGAGAAGCCGGGGGCCGGGAGCGCGCGAGGAGAAGAACGCGCGGTGCAGCCCGGGCCGCCGGAGGGCCTGCCCCGCCCTTCCCCGCCTCCAGGTCCCAGTGGAGGGGCGGGGAGGACGCGAGCCGCGGCCGGAGCCTGAACCCCCGGAGGACCCGCGGGAACCTGCCAGCCCTCAGCGCCCGACCACCTGCTGCCGCTGTCCAGACCGCCCGCAGTATTTATACCGGAGAGCGGGCCGCCGGGCCACGAGCCGGGGTGGGGGTGGGGGACGGCCCGCCAGGCCCCTCCCTGCTCCAGGCGGCCCTGCCCTCCTGCACCGGCGACCCCATTCGGGGCGCTAGGACCCTCACTCCCACCGGGGTCCGCCGCTCGCCGCCGGTGGGCCGATTGGCTGAAGGGCGGGCCTCCCTGCGGAAAGCGACGTCACGGCTGCTCCTGCAGTGTGAATGAATCAAAATGCCTGGGTGACCGCGGCCTCCCCGGCGTGCGTCCGGCACGCGAAGGGTGGCGGGGGAGGGGGAGGGAGGCGGGCGGGGGAGGGAGGAGGGGAAAAAAGCCAGGGCTGCAGCAACAGCGTCTCAGCCGGGATGCGCACCAACCCGGGAGAGCGAGATCAAAGGGATTTGAAACAGACCGAGGGCTGGCGGGGGGAGGGGGCCAGCCAGCCTGTGGAATCCTCCTGGAGAGGCGGAGGGTCCGGCTGCCACCGTGACTTCGGCGGCCTGGTTGGGCTTTTTATTATTATTTTCAAATTTCCGAATCCAGCTTGAGCGGGAGAGCGAGAGATCTCCGTAGACTGCGACTCGCCGGCTCTCGCTCCGAGATGATGCAGAGCGCAGCCGTCTCCGCGGAGGGGGCTGTCAAGGGGCTCCCGGAGATGCTCGGTGTGCCGATGCAACGTAAGACACCCCCTTTCTCACGGATTTAATTTAATAACAAGACGGCCGGCAGCCCTGGCCGGTGCGGGGCGGGCCGGACGCTGCGCGAAGCCTGGACCGAAGGGGCCGGGAGGGGTGAGGGGCCGGCGGCCCGGGCGCAGAAGCGGTCACAGGGCAGGGGCGAAGGGCCTGGCTCTTGGCTTTTGGGGCCGAAAGTGAAAGCCTCTCAAATCATACTGAGGGCGAGCCGAGGACACCCAACCTCGCGTGGCCAGCCCATGGCTATTCTAGGACCGTTGGGGAGAGTGCTGTTTGGGGACGTCAGGGGAACAAGCTGCAGGGCAGGCCTGACCGCTGGGGCGTTCTCTCAAATCATGCCCGCCCCCCGCTCCCCGGGGGCTACGGTCAAAGATTCCAGTACAGCTACAGCAACTTAACCCTATCTGGAGGAAAGTTGGAGAGCGCGCCCCCCGCCTCCAGGGGCTGGCGGCACTGAAGCCCAGGCCACACGTTCTGTTCCCGTGCGCAGAGCGCGCGCGCCTGGTGCGTTCCCGGCGGCTGCTGCCCGCGCCGCCCGCCGCCTGGGCCGCCGGGGCTGCCTGCTACTAGAGAGGAAGTCCCCTCGCCATATTCCATCTCGCCAAGGAAGGCGCAGGAGGGAGAAGCCCGAGGACGAAGTTGTGAACTCAGGGGACAGCCTTTGTGCACGCGAGGGCAGGCTCTCGGGACGTCTCGGAGGGGGAGAGACCAGGGTGTGTGGGTGCTTTGCCTTCTGGCCTTCTTTCCCGCGCCCGAAATTGGCAAGGCGGAGGGATAAGCAAGGCTCTGGGCTTGTTTATCTCGGGTCTGTGTCTGTATAGGTGTACGCGCGCCGGAGGAAATCTGTCTCTATCTCCCACTTCTGAATCGGGGGTCTGCGGTGGAGAATCTACGAGGAAGCCGGAACGCGAGTTCTGCCCCGCAGGCTGGCGGGCTCTTCGGGACTCCCGTGGGCTCCGTGGAGAGACGAAGGGTCCTTCTGCTTGCCAAGTGTCTGTGCTTCTGCCCGAGACCTCTTTAATAGAGCAGTAGGGGCGTCCTGTAGGTTTATTTTCAGTAAGAACCGGCTCATCCAAGGATGCTGCCCACCGATGAACTGGAGCGCACGAGCGCGCCCTCCTGCGCCTCGGGTCTCCACGGCAGGGTTTCTGACCCCCGCCAAACCTCAAATGGCAGGCTGGGTGTGTTCCGGGGCTTCCTGGGAAGTTTCTGAGAAGGGGCTAGAAGGGCTTAGGTTCCACCTAAACCTATTTAGGGTGGTTTTTTTTTGGGGGGGGGGGGCGGACTATGTCCTACAGTTACCCCTTGTGCCTAGTTCTGTCAACTGTTGACAAACAGTTCCACGTCTGCGCGGCGCCTTGGGAAGTTTGCTGACTAAGGTGTATCTGTACAAAGCCTTGGGGATTCACTGCCTCCCCCACTGTCCCCACCCCACCCCAGGCAGGGAGGGAGTGAGCGAGTTTTCCGCCCCTGCACAAACACAAATCCTGGCAAAGTTGCTGCAGGTCTCTAAGCTGGTTGCAAGTCCTGAAGCCCTGCCCAAGTCAGGGGAGTGTGTACGCGGGGCTGCCCTCCTTGCTGCCCAACACTCTCTGTGCTTTAATAGCTGCGGTCCCTACACGGACTGTTGGAAGGAGGCGAGGGCCATGGGTGCTCTGAGGCCTTTCTCAGGTGGGACTCGGACACGTCTCTCAGGGGGTCTAACTTTTTGTTTCTCTTACTCAGAGACAACTTTGATTTCCACGTCAGGAACTCGATTTCCTAAAATGCCTAGAACTCCCCCTCAAAGCTGCAGTTGGGCAGGGATCCGCGTCTGGCGGGGAACTGTGGAAAGCTTCATGGGATGGAGAAGGGGACTCCTCCCTGGTGGCCCATGGAGGCGATGACCAACCAGGAGGGGGTGGTCTCTCCTTCCCTTTGTCTTGCCCAAGTTCTGCTTCCTGGGTTGGCCTGGGAGAATTTGGGATGCAGCTTTTTTTGTTGTTGTTGTTCTTTTTCTTTTAGGATGTGTGTGGATTATATCCGATCCCATCGAAGCAAATCCGGCCACTGCCTATTGAGCTCTTGGTGCTGGGAAGTGGGGTGGGTGCCTGGAGTCTGCACACACAAACACACCAGTTCTCTTCCCTGGGCCAGAGGGCCAGGGCCTAAGAGTCCATGTGGGAGCGGAGTGAGGGACAGTTGTTGGGCCTCAGGGAGGAAGAGCAACCGCAGGCCTGTTCGAACCGGGGTGGGGGGCCGGGTGGAGGCCGGAGAAAGGCTCTCCCACTGGGGTCCCTTCAACCCGCCCCCTCCACACACGCACATTCTTGTCTTGCTCCTTCACCCCGAGCCACTGCCCTTGGCGCACTTGGGGGCGCAGGCTTAGGGATCCCCGCCCTCGGTGCCTCTGGTGCTCCGGGCTCCGGAAAATTCTTTTGCTTTTGGGGGACCAGTGAGGTACATGCACTTAGATAAACGTTGCCAAGCGGTGCAATATTTCTCTTTCTCTCGGCGGTTCTCTTCCGTACGCGGTGTCTCCCGCCTCCCACCACTGCTGGCTCCGGGGTGGATCGCGGTCGTCGCGGTCACCCTCCTCCTGCTTCCCCTGCGCAGAGGTGGCGGGGCGCCTCCGGGCTTCGTGCTCCGCTCCCACAGCCCCGGGGCGGCCCGATCAGGCCCGCTGCTCCCAGGACAAGCTCCGGGGTCTTCATCAGTGTGAAGGAGGGGTGCCCTGGGGCCAGAAGCTCGGGAAGTATCGGGCGGGAGGTGGCTGGGAGTCACCCCGGGGCGTCACGGGGCGGCGAAGTAGAGTCCTAGGCCCTCAAATCCCGGCCCCCCGGGCAGCCCCTCCCGCCTCGGGCCAGTGCTTCCTGCGGAACTCGGAGCCCCGGCTCCTTGCTCTGCGCGTCGGAAAAGCTCTGTTTGCAGGAGGCGGCACCCTCGGGTCAGGTCCAGTTGTAGCCGGGCGCCCCTTTGCAAGGCTTTGGCGGGTTTTTTTGTTTGTTTGTTTTGTTTTGTTTTGTTTTCCCGGCCGGGCCGCGCGGACAGGTTCGGAAACAGACCTGGTCACAAGCTGCGGGCCCTGGCTCCTCGGACTGCGACGTGGGATGGCGGGCTCGTCTAGTTTCGGGCGCACCCTGCCTCTACCCCGCGCTCTCCCGTCCGCCTCCTCCGCAGCGGCAGGAGCGTGGTGGTCCGAGTCCGCACCGCGCCCCTCCCGGGCGCCGCCGGGTGCGGCGAGCGCGTCCCGCAAACTCGCACCTCGCGAAGGCGGCCGCGCTCCCCCAGCTCCCGCCCCGCGCGTCTCCGTCCCGCCGGCCCCTCTTGCGGGCCAGGACGACCGTGCGGGACGTGTACGGAGGTGGGCGGTTTGCCCGCCCCTTGCCCAGATAGTCTCCCGGGCACCGAGGGAAAGGACCAGGGACACCTGCGGCCCCAGATTGCCGGCCGCAGAGCGGGTCAGCCCGGGCGGGCGGAAGAAGCGCCCTGCCCGGTACCGGCGGGGGTGGTAAATGGAGAGCAGGCCCGCGGTGTCTCCTGTCCCTCTCTGATCTCCCCAAAAGTCTACTGCTCGCAGCTCTTAGGAACCCCGACGCTGTGCGAGGAGGGTGTTTGATTTCGGGTCGACGGCACCTGCGCGAGGGACGCAGCGCTCCGCTTTCCTGCCTCCCCGGGGCTCCGGCCCGCGGCCGCCTCCCAGCACCTCCCCCGCCCCCGCGCCGCCGCCCTCCCGCAAGGTCCTTTCGGAAGGGGTGGGTCGGACTCGCGTCCTGGGCTGGGAGTTCCCTCAAACTCCGGAGCAGCGACGCGCTCTTCTTTCCATTCCTGCCTTTACCGGGACGGGGGGGGGGGGCACAAAAACATCCTTAGATATTCAATCGGACTCCAATACAGAAATTCAAACGGCTGCCCCCAACACCGCAAACCCCCTTTCCCGAGTCGCAGACACATTTTCAGCCGCGAGCCAACACTTAAAGGTCAGACGGGGTGTCCCCGCCGGCACATTCGGGCCTAGCGGGCTACGGGTTCGGATTCTGTCACCGCCAGGGCACCGTCCCAGCCGCGGGCCAGAGCTGCGCACCACCCGCAGGGAATTTGGAGAAACTGGGGTGACCGAGGCAGCGGGTCGAGGGCGCCCGAGGGGCCAGGGGCTCCCGCGCCCTCCATTCCTGTGCTTCCGTCAGAGAGGGCAGGGAGGGCGGAGGGGAGCCCTCCCGGGAAGCGGTTTAACGCTTTAACCAGGACCCGGAGCCGGCCCGTGGGGTGGGTGAGGGGCGAAGGTCCGCGCTGAGCGGTCCCCATTGTCCGGAGAAGACAGGAAGTCGGGGCTGAGAGGAGAAAGCAGGACCCAACTCGGGGTGTCGCCTTGCTGGGTCCGGGCTCGGAGAAAGCCAGAGCCTGGCGGGGCTGAGCGGGAGTGGGGTCCTCGGGCCTGGGAGCGCGACCTGCCTGTCCTCGCCGCCACTAGGGCGGAGCTGCCCCGCCCCACGGACAAGTGCGGGCCTGGGTGGCCTGGGGACTGACGCCGAGTTCCTTCCGCAAGCGCCTGCTGCGCACCTGCGCGCGGCGTGGGTCCCGAGCGCCCTCACCACCTGTGCCCTGGGTTTTGGTGGGCTCGGCAGGGGACGCGGGTGCGGACGGGGTGGCCCTGGGAGAGAGCGGGCTTTGCGGGCACCGCGTCCGTCAGTCCGGAGCAGATAGGAGATCACGGCTGCGAAAGAGGGAAGAGAGGGACTGCGGCGGTGTCTACCCCGCCGCATTTGGCACCTCTGCGCCTCGGCCTTTTCCCTCCATCCACCTGGCCCATTCCTCTTCCTGTCGTATTTCTTTCTGGTGGCCTCGAGCGGGTTGGGGACGTCCAAGCCTGGGACGCCTGTCCTGCCGCTTTGGGACCGCGGCGGAGACTTTTCTCCGCGGGGAGAAGGGTGCCCAGCGCGAGAGCGGACAGTGCGCCCAGCGCGAGCGGAGACCCGGCGGAAACCCCTCTCTCTCCTTACCCA